GGGCTACACAAGCTACTGTTGCCCAACTCCTATATACATTAGGCGGCCTCACTATTTATTTCTACCGAGCTCTCTTTTCGTCTGTTTACATCTCTGGGCCTCGAGCCTTCTGAACTTATATCAAACAATTATCGTAGTTACTTTTAATTTTAGGGTGTTGTGGAAATTGAGGAGCTATGGCAGTCACTGTTATTAAACGTGAAAGACTACATGAAGGGCGAGCAGAATCGTGGACTCCTGCTGAGTGGTGTTGATGAGATTATGCAACTACTGGATGACAATGCCCTCAGTCTGCAGTCTATGAACGCCAGCCGCTTTGTCAGGCCCTTTCTCGACAGGGTGCAGAGCCTGGACAAGAGCCTCAGTCTCATCAGCGAGGTGCTGGAGACCTGGATGATGGTGCAACGCAAATGGATGTACATGGAGGGCATCTTTGTCGGCGGAGATATTCGGACGCAGCTGCCAGAAGAGGCCCAGCGATTTGACGGCTATGACAAGAAATTCAGACAGGCATGCATAAACAATTGCTGGGCGTTAAAAGCATTCTCAAGTTATTTTGGTTTCAGCAGCATTTAAAAGTTAATTGCTTTTGCACCTCATCTAGGTAAACATAGTGTCAAGCCGAATCTTACCTGCCACAGTGAACTTTTCCTAAATTTATGAAGAGAGTTAAAATCAGCACCGCCTCTGCTAGGTTATTCTCCTTCAGTTATGGAACATAAGAAAGTCCATAAACGCACTTTCTGCGTCCTTCTTCTTTTCTGATGTATGTTTTGCAGCTTGACCAATCAGTGAAAGTCAGTGACCAGATTTTAAGAGAAAATGGAGCTTTTCATCGATTGGCTACCGAAATATCTGTCCGTATCTTCAACAGCTTGCCAGTGTAAATTATATTTAGATAGGAGCTTAGCAAAAACCGTGTATCGTAGCCCCTTTGGTAGTGCTTAGTTTATTATCAACTCTTGTTTGATTTCATAGTATAAGGTATGAAATAGAAGAAACATTAGACCAAGCAAAAGGTAAATCTATGCATAATGTTGTATTTAAACGTTTCACGAAATAGATTTCTGTTTACAATCAAAAATGAGGTGCGTAGTACACGCAAAAGGGGCAGTGCTTAACTCCTGCGTTCATGCTTTCCAGTAGTTCACTTTGTCTTTATTTATAATTGGAACACGATAAGCATAGTAAAAAGGGGTTCAGTCGGGATCGTGTTAACCTCTTTACTGTAACCCAAAATACTCAGAACCCACTGTCGCCTTCCCCAGAATAGTGGTGTTCCTGGTTGATTCTGATGGATGGACTATCGGGTGCTAATCGGAATTACTTTGTTACTAGGGTCCTTAAAGTTTATTTGCTTTCGCTTCTCCGTATGTGTTTTCAGGGATGTTTCAAAATTCAAATAATTTCTAAGAGATATCGCCCAAATAAATTATACAGCCTCTTTCCATGGTGTATATTTATGCTACCCACGAATTCTGTTACATTTCGCAGCCTTAATGAACATTTGTACAGTAGGAGGAGTTTTTGGCAAATGCTAAATTCTTCATTTAACCCGATTGGGAAAATTTCGGCGGCCTCGGTGGGATTTGAATACACGCCAGCAAGGGATAGGCTTTGGTACAGTCAATGCTCCAGCCAACTGAGCTAAGAAGCCCCTATCGGGCGCCGTCAGTTTAATCGCACTTCGGTCAATATACGCTTCCAATTTACTACAACGTATGGGATTCCTCAGTTCTCATACAGTAGGCTGAATGTGCAAACAGAAGTGCCTAAGCAATCAATCTAGAATCTACCAGGCGCAATTTCTTATTGAAGAGGTTTGGCAGGTTTGAATAATTCATTTGTGAAAAACTCGGCACCCTCGCCCGATCTATCAGAGTTATTTTTGCCAACCACAACAATGTGCACTTTATTTCTGTCAAGTTTTTTTGAACAAAATTTTCACTTCACTCCTCTAAGATCATGCACGAAACGGCTAAAGAACCGGGAGTTCGCAACTGTTGTCTCCGACCAGACCGCCTTACCGATCTCAAGTATATCGCAAGCGGTCTGGAGGCGTGCCAGAAATCCTTGAGTCACTATCTTCAGGCCAAGCGAAATGTCTTTCCTCGCTTCTTCTTCATTTCTGATGACGAACTACTTGGTGTTTTGGGGTCTGGCAGACATGACTGTGCTCAGCAACACATGATAAAGGTATGAGGTGTTCTCCCCGTGTTTCCATTCTCTTACTGGTCCACAGCCATTCAAGATTAAACGTGTCCTCAAAGCCAACAGTGAGCGTGCTTCTTTAGATTCAAGTTAAACTAGTTTTATGGCTACAGCTTCATTAGTGATTTACTTTCAATGCCAGATAGTAATAGCCTTGTAGCATATACTCGCAGCTCAAAGTGTCGAGCGAGGATGTAATCCTAAGTCAGTCACTCTTACGGTAGAACCTGTAAAATTTATGTCGAATGACGTTCTTTTGGTCCATATGCCCTTTCCATTTACTGGCATCACCATCCTTTTGCAATTTTCTGCTGAACCAATGCATTTTATAGCTGCTCTGTACCAGTAGAGAGTTCAAAAGCATTAACCTACATTTCTCTTAATAAGCCTGACCTAACCTGACCTCGCCCCATTATCGTGCTTGTAAACAGTTCTGACCAAAGATGCGATGAGTCATGCTCCTAGTTGGTAAGTGAATCATTTCCAGTTCCTTTTGTCAACCCGGCGACCATGTAGAGCATCCCAGACAGAGTGATCGTCAGTCGTCAGTATACATGACGGCTTTCAGTCGTTCAACAGCAAAGTTGTACCGTTTAACCCTCCAAAATCTGAACAATAAGCCTACTTATGGATAGCAGAAGGTTAACAGAGAATAAGGTTTAAAAATGCAGTTTCTGTCTAAACTAATGCTGAAGTTAGACTGATAGGTCTGGAGCCCTTTTTTTAAAGAAATTTAAAATAACTACGACTTATTCGTCTTACTCCCTGGGAAACCTAGAAACCCCGTATATTTCAGCCGGAAACTTTGATTTTTCGCCAAGATTATATATTTTGTTTAGAGTGCAAGTAAGTTATTCCATCCAGCAGAGCTCGGTGATAACGTTGGAAATTTTCGAAGAGCGGAAACATCTACTGAAAAGAAATTATTCATCCTACCTCTTGATCAGCGACTTGCTGTAACTTTATTTTCCGTATATTGTTTTAAGCGTACAGCCGAGTACAGGCAAGTCTATCTGGTTGTCCTTTCTGTTAGTTGTGTTGCATGCTTTTAATCCGTCCTTGTGTTTTATTTTTCAAAGTAACTTGAATTATTTCGTCTTTGCAGATGTTTGACAACATTTCACACTTGAACTTTGTGCAAGGAGACAAAAATAAGATGTATGCCACAACCATGTGCTCCACCGAGGGCGAAGAGTTACAGTTCTCGGAAAACGTGCTTGCCGATGGTCGAGTAGAGAATTGGCTTACTGAAGTGGAAGATGCCATGAAAAACAGTAATCGACGCGTAACCAAAGAAGCGGTGGCCAACTATCGTCACAACAAGTCGAGGTAAGTCAGCGACCGACTATGCTCGTGTTTTATTACTCCTGTTGCCTTAGATTTCCGGGTTTCCCATGTTGCATTGCCGACTGTCCCTCTTTCCAATTTCTGGCAAGGATGACTTCAATGGTCGCTTTAACAGAATATGGAAACAGGAACGCCCCGTCCGCTTAAAATAGGTGGCCCTGCGATATATTTCCGGAAGGGCAGATATTCGCTTAACTGTAACCTAGACCTCAACATCAACCCCTCTCTAATCCTACACCTTGCAGTTAACACTAATTCTAAATGTAACTACTAAAGTAACCCTGACCATAATTCTAACCGTAAACTAACGCTTAACTTAACCCTACCCCTCATCATAATCCTAAACCTAATATCCCCGAAATTTGGCGCAAACCGACGTATTGTGGGCGATTTTTGTTCGCGTGTCCCCTGTAGATGGCCACTAAATTCATCCTTAGCCTATTTCTTACACTCCCTTCTCTGACTTCAGCACGTCTCAACGTTTCCATGTCTTCTCTTTCGCGGCAAGCTTGAATATCTGCAGATTTGTTTTTCGTTGAGTTATCCTGCCATTAAGGAGCAGACAGGTACTCAAAGGACAGCTAATAAGCTAATTAACCTCTCAAATTCCAAATAGAATTCTTTCGGCATCCATTAACCTGCTTTTGCTTCAGCTGGAGCAGTTTCACGCAACTGGTATCCGCAGGCACATAAGGCAGCTGTAACTTACCTTAACGACAATCTAACATAAAGGATTACTTTATTTTCTGTCATCAGTGGCCTTAGCATTTCCTAGTTACTAAAGACCGTATGGATTGCCTTTATGCGCCTCCCCCCCC